ATGAGTGAATTTGCCAACGAGGTTAAAGCAGTCCAATTTACATTGAGATTTTGTAGACAAAGTTGAAGAGGTGATGCGCACCTTATTTGCGAATTTTCATCAGACACATAAACATGCTTGTTAGCTTTGAGACGCCCATTACATATTTATATCGTTCCTCCTTTGTAAACTAGGTTGAGATATACGTTTACAAAGCAGAAAGTTTTCCTGTGTACGTGGCATGAGTTAAATAATTTAGAATTTCAGATGTTTGCAACTAATCAAGTCTCATCAACTGCGAACGCTTCAATTACTTCGAAACATAGATGCACACGCACAACATGAAACCCTTTATCTTAGTATATTGGGGTTACTCAGGGCTTAATTAGGGGGGAAATTCGCTCGTTTGGAAAACAAAAACAACACGAAGAAAATAACCCTTGCATTGAAACAGGTCCATGCAAGAACCAAAAGTATTAGCTTAGGCATTATACACTGTAGCCTGGTAAAAGCTATCTTTATCGATCTAAATTAGATAAGTCGAGCTGGGGATCTTGTATCATGCCTTCACTCGAGAGATGCTTACATTAAATTAATTAATTCCATTTTCTATTAGGACAAAATGGAACAAAAACATTATTTTTGTAACTGTTATTCAAAGATAATTGAAGTTCAAACTGTTCAAAGTTAATTTAAAGTATAGGTTTAGAGGAGCCGGTATTTTACGTTCTGAAAGCTTTTAAGGGGTACTCCATTAAATATGGGTGTGGGTAAAATACTCAACAATTCCCAATTATTCTGATCGAAGCACAACAACGTTAAATTATTAGTATACAACTCCTATTAATATCAAGGAAGGTAAAAATTCTCATATAACGCGATGTGCAGACAGGAATTTCTAAAGGTAATTTTTTTAGGAGTATTAAACCAGGCTAGTAAGTTCAAAATCCGTTTATTTGGAGTACTCGAAAACTGTTACTTACCTACACCATTTAGCAACATTAAGTGCTACTTCAAAACTTCAAAAAGTCTTCTTGTTGTACAAGTGTCCACTGTACATGCCAACTAGTGATTACGAAGATAGTGAAATAGCGGAAATTGTACGAGAAAATAGAATGTTTAATCCAGGAAGAAGGGAGAGTTGTTGCAAAATAGTGAAGGAACGCTAGTATCGGAGGAGATAGAATGGGCAGGGTCGTTGAGGATTATGATTGGGAGCAAGGGATGAAAGTGGTGTAATAATAATGACCTTTATTCACATATTATATACAAAAGTAACAACACAAAAATGAAAAATAAGGTATAACGATATATCAAATATATAATAGTGAAAGCGTGAAGTTCAGACTAATTGGTCTGCTCTTCCACTTTACCACAATATACACTTCATTTTTTTTGTGGCGAAATGAGTGATGTTTCTCTCAAATAAAACGGCATACCTGCGTTTGTTAAAGAAATGTGAAAATAGAACTATAACAATGTAGAAAAAACACAATTAAAAAAAACTTAAAGAGTTAAAAGAACTGGTTAACATTGGATTTGACTTCTATAAAGTAAAAGTCGCGATTGTGTTTTAAAAGGCTGCAAGGAAAGATTTTTGATAAAAGCTGGCAACGAGCTGTTGTATTGTTTTGCAATTTGATAAGAAAAACACCCTTCGAAAAGATGATACCTATGAGTTAGAATAGTCATAAGTCCTTTGTTATGTAAATTGAGATGGTGTACGTCTGTACGGAAAGTAATTTTATTATAAAAAACCATGTGGTTTATGAGTTAAAACGATTTGATGACACATATACAAAAAGTGAAGGGAATGGCGATTTTCCATATTCAACCACTTTTGAAAAGTCTCGACGAAAGGAATTAATTTCTACCAATCATACTTCTCCTCGGCCCCTTATCGTGATCCTTATCCTTGTATCTCAAGAGAACGGATTGTCGGAGGAGGGTACTCATAAACATTGGCATGTCTCGAAGAAACAGATCCGCTGGTGATATCAAAACTTTAAGAGCGCGTATCTCGAAAACGGTTTGGCGGAGGAGAAATAAAAGAAATCATCTGAACGAGACAAATCTATTGGTGATGTCAAAAGTTTCACTGTGTAGTGGAGGAGGGTACTCTTAAAGGGCAAAAAGATCGTCCTATACGAGACACATCTGCTGGCGATGTTAAAGCTTAATTGTGAATATCTCGAAACTGTTTTAGGAAGGTACCTACAAAGAAAAAATGCAATATTTTGGAGAATTAACGAAGAGGTTGATTCTTCCTCAGTATATAGCGTAAATTTTGTTATTTTTCCTATTAATCATTTACCAAAAAGTTAAACATCGATAAATATAGCAAATATAGTATGCTACTACCCTATTCCCAACTATTTACTAAGCAACATTATTGGTTTAATAACATGCGCTTTCTCTGCACAAAATATACTTGTTTAATTTCATTTGTTCATTTTGTTTCTTCATGCACACGTTTTCCCGTCTAATTTTGAAGAGCACTGATTGTTATCAAAATGGTTCCACTTACCTTCTTCTTCAAAGTTGACCCTGTAACGGAATTTGCTTTTACTCTGGGGGTAGATGCCATTCTTTCTCTGGAGCTTGAAGTGAAAAATGCATTTTTCTAATTTTACAAAAATTGCATTTTGTTAAAAATAAATAAAGAACTATTAATGATATGCAAAGTGCAAACTTTGTGAAGTGTAGGTTTTGCTTTTATGAAAATGTTTGCTTTTTTCTGTAGGATAAAAATTGTGAAAAATATGGCTGTTTCAACTTTGAATACGTTCGTAAATAAAATAACTTTCTCAAGCCCTAAAAGCTCAAATATTTTAAAAAATAAAGGCTGAAAAAACCCTATTATACAGTGTGTCCATGCATTCATGTTTGAGAGGTGCGATGGGGTAAACATTTTTGGAATTTATTTTGAAATTCTGCAAATAAGCCCTACTTGGTATTATCTTTTCAAGTAAACTGCACATGATACGATAAAATGTTACTCGTTGTTCAGATTGAGAAATTAAGGCTCTATACAGAATTTCAAGAATATTTACCTACTTTGATTAAACCGGCGTTTTTCAGATTAAAAAAAAATAAATTACATTTACAAATTATGTTGTTAAAAAAAAGTTTTTTTACAGTCTAACATCCTCACGCCTAATGTACACTGCCAAAATTCAAAATAATCGTTTGATATTTTTTTTGAGTTTTTTGTTATAAAACCTAGTAGAATTTTTGTAAGTTGTACACAGAAAAAAAAGTCTTTCGATTAATTTAATAAAGATGTTGAATTGCTATCTAAAAAAAAAGGTCGGGGCCGTTGTGGCGCTCCAAATTTTTTTTCAAAATGATGGCCTTTGATTTTTGGTTTCCCTATCCCCAAAATTTTAACAAAGTCCGTCGAGCCGTTATTTCGGATCACCAACGTACGTACATACATACAGGCGGAAGAAAATGTTACTTTCTTTAAAATCCATTGAAAAAATGTCCAAAAAAGTTCCGCACACCTGATTGCAGTTCTATGCGTTGTAAATTTATTGCCCTGTTTAATTATTAAGGCCCATTTCTACATAAAATCAATTTCGCGTTGTGTTTCTCCAGGAGCCCTACACCAAGCACAATGTTTTTAAAGAGAAAGCAAAGGTTTGCACAACTTGAAGACTTTTTTCAAGTTTCCCTAATCCGAATTCCCCGATGTTAATTATTTGGAAGCGAAATTGATCACAACTCAAAATGTTCAGGATGAAAAATGCCTTTCCCTATTATGTTATTCTTGTGAGAATTATCCTGGAATCAATTTTTAGGTTACGAATTATACCAGTGCGAATTATCCGTACGCAAATTGTCTGCACAGAAAAATAAATGTATACAGGCTGATTCAAATTCGCGGGCCACTATGTGGATTTCGGAAACTGTAAGAGATATGTAGGTAGTTTAAATTTGGCAAAGTTGCGTATTTTGATGCATAACAAAATACCATTTTGAAACTGAAAAAATTCCGACTACCTTGGGAGAAAATTTGCGTTTGCAAAATCGTTTTTATTTGTTACCAAAGATTTAAAAGGGTATTTCAAAATAAATGACACATTATTATGACCACTTTTTCCCTCTACAAGATGCTAGTTTCAAATTTTAAGTCTGACGTTTCATCTCCGGTTAACCATCATCAACTTTGTTTTTTCTTACGGAAGTCATTTTTACTTTTTGTGTCATTTGATAGAGCACTTTTTTGATTTTTAAAATCACTATTTTTTTTATTAGAAATGACGCTATTAATTCGTAAAAATGCAAGAAACTACGAACATACACTACCCAAGTTTGCCAGGCAAAAAAGAAGATATTCTAACAATATTTAAAAAATAGTGATGTTTGCATTTCTGAAATAAAAATAATGCTATATCAATACAGAAACTTATATAAATAAAATTTAATATAAACCCCCAATGAACCTTAAATTAATAAATTAATCCAATAATGATCGACCACGTTAATATACAAAATTCGCACTAATTTTCTAAAACGCTTAAATTTATGAAAGAATTGGCGTTGAAATAATCTTTGAAAAGGAATTAATGATGACCTAATGACACACTATAGGAATACGTATTTACGAAAGAAATGACTATTTAGTAAAAATCGTGTAATTATAAAATTGAAAACTTAGGGTTATTACTATTTCTGAGAATTCATCGAGCTTTGAAATGAAATTATAGTGGAAATCATGGTAGTATTTGCGCACGTAATTTGCGAACATAATAAAGTAATCATTAAAATTTCCATAAAGGTTTCCTGTGCTATGCGTGTTTCAAAACAGATTCAGAACGAGAAATGGAAGAATTAGTCCGTTTATGCCAACCATAAACTTTTTACAACTGCATAGTCATGTAATAAACAATTTTATGGTTTCATTGCAAAAAGCTCTTTCTCGCCATTCCCATCTGTAAACTTTTCAATGGCACACTTACAGCTAATCTCAAAATTGCTGAAACTCAAACTAATTGCTTTTCTCTTTGTCTTTTCAGCACCTCAGTTTAATACCTACGTTACTTTAAAGCTGCAAAATGTTAAATCAACTACTGTAACCGTCAAAGGAGCGACACCATGCTGGGAACAAGATTTTTTGTTGTAAGTATTACCATATACATTTTTCTATTAGTAAGCATGGAAATACTTCAAGTTCCATTCTAAATAAAGTTAGGAAATCGAGGACTTGCTGCCGTATGATGAATTACTTGAGGAAGTCTTTCGGAGTTTATCCCGGGATAACTCTCGTAAATAATAAATACAAGCTTCCACTTTCATTCCACTTTGTAAATGTAATCATCTTGAAACCCCAAACGTATTTGTCATATTCTAAAGGTGGAATATACTTTAGATTTGCCGACGGACATTCTACAAATGCGAGCGATTATACTTTACTTATTTTTGTGGGATGAGAAAAGATGTCTCAGCAAATGCTTTTGTGGTGATATTAATAACTTCAGTGCCATTACTGTACAAATATCAAGAAGAAAACTGACAGCTTCTTAGTGCTTTACTGAGTTACTCATATATTCCCCAAGTGATATTAGTAAAGCAAAACCCGAACTAATTGATAGGTATTTTACTAAATAAGAAGTTTTGATATTAAGGAAGACACGACAAACCTCGTTGAATCCCACCGGTTTATAATTTGAAGTAGTTAGGAGGTTATTAAGATGCTTGAACTTTGGTAGTACTTCTTTGTGATCTACTCGGGTTTCAGATTGATTAACTACCTAATATCGTGCAATTGTTATTCATTCTAATTCATTGTCATTATTATTGCCAAGTCAAAGTAGAGAACCTTATATAAAAACGTCTGTCACCGTAAACTGATGGCATGATGTCGTGCAAACTATGTTTATTGTTGTGCTGTTTGAAGCAATGATAGGCAGTACCTACTCATTTTATACAGTGCATGATTTCATAATCTTTGGCGACTTTTGTTGTTGACAACATAATGAGTTGATGTTAAAACAAACAAAACACTTTTATTTTTACACAGTGTCTGAACACAAAACACTTTTAAGTGGCCACATTTACCATTATCACTAGAAAAGAATAAACAAATAAAAAGGTTAACAATTAACTCATTTACATTTAATGATAAAGGTATTGGACAACTGGATTTAAATGTCCTACTACTGAGCTTCACAAGCAGATGGAGTTATTTAAAGCATTGTATTCAGAGTCGATCGATGCTATTATACTTCGTTTCTTAGAGACGGCCACGAACACGATAATACACTTCTCTTTAATTGAAATATGAAGCCACTGATACACTGGATCGCTTCCGAAATCAGCATCAGAATATTCTTTCAACTGTATATAGTGTTTCCTAATGGCGGTCAAGAACTTGAGAAAGGTTCTTTTCTCCTGATGTCTACAGATTTACCACATATCTGAACATCAAATTTTCCACTAGCGGATTCGGATTCAGCATAATTTAAAATTTAATCATGTTGTTTCATTTAAATTACGGATTTCCGGAAGTTCGAGATTTTGATGACAATTTTCCAGCGTTTCGGAACCCTAGACCCTGACATTCAATGCTTCTGTAATTATTAAAGATAAATTTTGTTGGAAAATGTTAAAAGAAGGGGTTTGCTCCATGTTTTAATTTGTGTAATTTGAGCTACCTAGCCTTTGCATACAATACTCCTTCGGATTTAATTTTTTTTAGATTATTCAGCCCATTTATTTTGTATTTCTAGAAACCTTAATGTCCCAATATCAGGGATTTCATGTTTCTCTTTTAATTCAGTAGCTTTAAACAGTCTACATAAATTATTAAGCTGATTACTATCTTGCCTGCAATTTTAAATTAAGGTAAATTGACCTTTGATCCTTATGAAATTTAAACACATGCGTTGAGACATTCGTTTCCATTTCCTAGGTGAATTTATTAACCCCTGTACAATAGCCCTTTTTAATCGCACAATTCCACTTTCTTGCTTGAAAGCTTCAGGTTGCTCCATTTATATTAGTATTTATTCCTTCGACTTACTGTTTAAATTTTAAACCCTGTATAATCGTCTAAAAACATAAGCAAATAGGTTTCACCTTGTACAATTTTTGGATCAAAAGGATCACAAATATTTTTATATATATACTAAAATGGCCTCATACTTTATAATTCTACATTTACTTTATCTATCTAATCTCTTTATACTTCACTTCACTTATACATATTTCACACTTTGGTCGATTGTTCTTCCTTTTACCAAAATTTAATCCATATAACATGTTTTTAGCATTCAATTTAAATAAATTATCATAGCTCAAAAGACCATAACCATTACGTCATAATTCATGTTTCCGATTCATTGATCTAAGACGTATTACTTCAGATTCTTGAGTTCCTTTTAGTGTTTCCTTTTCTTTACTTCAAATTTGTCAGATTTTTAGGATCCTTCGAAACCTTTTTTTATATTTTTGAATTCCATCGAGTTCTTGAATTCATCAAGTTTTCCGTTGTCTTTTTCGTACTCTTTCAAATTTTTCAGACCTTTTAAATTCTTCACATTGTTCGGACTCTTCGGATACCTCTTCAACTTGATGGATGTGCCCTGTAGAATCCATAATTTCAAACAGTTCGAAGATTGGGCTACTAGTTCAAAAGTTACAGCCCTTTGAATTTTATTTCGAAATTGGTTTCTAGTCTATAACCTTTGATTGAGAAGTCTAATCGAAAAAGTACGAATTGTTTTGGATTCTACGCCCCAAAATTAATAAGAAAAAGTGTTTTTCCGAGAAATTTTGGTGTAGTCGATTTTTGGTAAAAAAAGGAGCCCCGAAAAAAAAATTGTCTCAGATCGACCGGGAAAAAAATTTTCTTATAGAATGTGCCCTGTAGAATCCATAATTTCAAACAGTTCGAAGATTGGGCTACTAGTTCAAAAGTTACAGCCCTTTGGATTTTCTTTCGAAATTTGTTTCTAGTCTATAACCTTTGATTGAGAAGTCTAATCGAAAAAGTACGAATTGTTTTGGATTCTACGCCCCAGAATTAATAAGAAAAAGTGTTTTCCCGAGAAATTTTAGTGTAGTCGATTTTTGGTAAAAAAAGGAAGGTTATACACACTGCCTTTTTTTAAGCCCCGAAAAAAAAATTGTCTCATATCGGCCGGGAAAAAAATTTTCGGATTATTAAAATTTTTCGGACTGTCTTACTCTTATCTTACGTTAGTTGACGGAGAAAACGAATCGGTGTTGCCAGAATAAAATTTAAATTGTGTATTTTTTGCATTTGTTTTAAAGAGTTGGTCGACCAAACAAATTCTATCCAATTGTAATGGAAATTTAATTCCGTAACTTATTTATTTACAACTAATTAACCATAAATGTATAACTGTCTTGAAATGGATTAATTCATGTTTATTTGCAGTAATTATTAATACAATTAATAACAGCTTGAGTTTAATACTCGCAACGATGTTAGAACTCACTGAACTGTTTGCTTGTATACTAAACTCCCCTCTTCCTTGAAAGTTCTCGAACGCTTCCGAACGCTCCCGAGTATTCTAGAATGTTCTCGAACAAACACGACATATTTCCCGGAAAGATTACGTCACATCCGCCTTCGTTCTTAATCGCCGATGACTAATCTTTCATGGTGCGTCGATTTCCGGAATATTCACACAACCACCTGTTTCAAATAAACCAAGGATCTGAAATGAGTCAATATTATCGTTTATCCGTATTATTGCATTTGAAATTATTAAAAAAAAACTGTTCGTGGTAAATTTACGATCCAATAACTACATTTTAGAATGACATTAATATTTTTATTTGATATTACAGCGAAACCAACGATGTCAACACCGGTTTATTGATAGAAGTTTGGAGCAAGGGAATGATTTGGGACCGCGCTATGGGATACAATTGGGTTCCGCTGCAGACTGTACAATATGCAAACGAGGTAAACCAAAATATTTCTTCTACGAATTTGCTTTACACACATACACAAACACTGACTCACGATTTAGGATATTTGCAACTCACTTTATAATTACGAATGAAAGTTCTACATAATCGAAATGAGCTTAATCACAAGTTTGAGTTCTATGTACACATGATAAACATAAAAATTCAATTTTGAAAGGGTGTATATGGACCGCGACCACTTTAAACGTAGAAATAGTTACGATAAGTTTTAAATATATTCCGAGGATTGTAAAGCAAGAGCAACAAATAAACAATAAGGGAACTTCTGCTATCGTAACTTTCAGTTTAATAAGACATAAACTTTGTGCTGAAATATTTATTCGCAATATGTGCCACAGTAGCAAAAACAAAAACACTAACTGACTGCATTGTCGATTGAACTGGAGCTGTACATGTACATACAGACATATTAAATAAAAAGGATCGTTTTATTATCGATAGTCTGAAAATTACTGCTCACATACAAACTGGGAAGCATTGCTTTTATAACTTGTCTATTGATTTTTTGAACGCTTCGAGTAGTTCCACCAGTAAATATTAGATAAAGTGAACTTGTAACTGGCACTGAAACCTTTACGGTTATTACACCAAACGTTGTTTATTGTATAAAACATAAGGGACTACTTTCAGTCCTTTTATGCTAATAGTACCGAGAGCAGTTTTTGCTAATATTGGTAATGTAGTAGCGTTTGATTTAATCTTAAGATCGTAAACCGAAACGGTGTCTGCACATTTAACCCATAAAAGCAGCTTTTGCATTTTCCCATAAAATTGACATTATACGGTAATTCATTTCACTACTTTATTAAAGTTAATAGATATGCGCAACAGTTAATGTTGCATTTTCTTTATCGCTTAGTTTCAATGCAAAAGTTTGAGGCAATCAAAATACTAAGTTGTGGAGGCAAGGTGTTTCCTTTGTGCGGCTTATTCTTTAGACAGAGAACTGTAAACGAGCCAACTTTCTCGTGTTCTGTAAAATAACCACCATTAATTAATGCCCATGTTTCGAATAATACACAGCATTTAATTAATCTTTTACATATATTGAAGAAGAATTTAGCATTTATATTCAAGTTTCGTACGTCAATGTAGCTTGAATAATATAGTGGATCATTTTTCACATTTGAGGTAGGCAGTACCATAGGTTTTCGATACGACTGTCCCACAAATCGCATTTAAAAGATAAGTGTTAACTTTTTGTTGTTAGTACTATTTCTCTTTATATAAAAAGAGCGACTAAACAGTGACTTACATAGCGGAAATTGAGGCGGGTTCTGTAAAGATTAAATAGGCTTAATGATTATGGTTAAATGTAGACTGTATTAGTTGCTACATCTTGACTGCGATCTAGATTAATAATTGTAATTACAAAGTAAATACAACTTTGACATTTCAGACGAAAGCCCAATTGTCTTCTTGAATTTAGATCAAGATGACCTCATCTCTTCCACTTTACCTCCTAATAAAATTTTCATTTACCTTTTATGTTTTTTTTGAATTTTCCCTAAGCTCAGTATGATGCAGTTTAGCGATCACAAATATAATTCCATCGAAACTCATTCTAACTAATTATGAAGTGCGCGATATTATAAACACTCTGCATGTGGTGGAAAATGTACCACAGCAGCTGAAGGATTTCGGTACCGAACGCGTGAACAGCTTAGTCCTAGATTCACTAGACGCGTCGCAGCGGATAAAGTTGCATATATTATAAGTCTATAAATGATGGGGGTTAGATACCAAAAAGACACAAAACTTCACACTATGGATATCTCCGATTCTATAAATGAAGTTGGAGACCACACTTTCAAATCGGTCATATTTTCCAAACTAAAGAAGATATTGAAAATCGCGCAAAACCGTTTTGGTGGTATCGAGGGGGAACCAGAATGACGTTATGAGTGACAACCCTCCAACCCCTTTAACCCCCCTCCCCTCTTCAAAAATCCTAAATGGCAACCCTATATTTGTGACACATCGTTGGAAAGCTACTGAAAAATGCTTTCCAGTGGTACCAATAAAGTCAATAGTCATTAAGACAACTTAACAAAAATATAATAATTAACAAAAAAACTAAATGTTGACATTGAGGGACCTATGGCAAGTTGGCCAAGAACTTCAACCTGAGCTGCTTCATTAAGCAATCTTGGTTGCTTTCTTTTTTATTGACTTTACAGTACAGCTGAACGTGTGGAAATAATATTCATTTATGGCTCCGAAAATCGATCATCTTTTAGAACAGCTAGAACGTTTAATGAGAGACATCTCGGGAGAAATGTAAGCCATGTCTATGGTCAAGACTTGGTCGCTAAATTCGAAGAAACAGGATCTGTTATCAATAAAAAAAGAAAGCAACCAAGGTTGCTTAATGAAGGGCGCGTTACAATCTCCCCCAGGACAACGGCCAGGTTCCTGTTCAGTGTTAGGATTTGAGGGTGTCTTCCTCAGGCGGCCTCGTTTCCTTATGAGCCGGATGGGCTCGATGATGCGCCGTCCTTGGTGTGTCTTTGTCCTTGACTTCGGAAGTCGTGGGAGAGAGGGCCTGGAGAATTTTGAACATAAGCCTTTTACCTGGTTGCTTACGTGATGTGTGTGCTTACCCAAACTAGGTTTCCTGTCTTGTATGTGGTGCTTCCCGTCGTTTGCGATCTGCAATTTTTTTTTCTTTGGTTTGTGCTTCTATTGGATTTGGGCGGGCTCCTCTAAGGGTATCAGTGAGACGTAGGAGATATGTGTCTTGTATCATCCGTCGTTCTGTCGCGCCCATTGGGCAGATAGGCGGGTGCGAATCCCGTTGTCTGGCAGGGCGTGGTGTTAATCGCAAAACGAATTAGCGGTAGTTTATCGGGGGTAGTTCGAATGGTCTCCTTTTACTAGGATGGCCAGTTGCGTTTTTAGGTTCCGGTTCCTTTTTTCCACTGACTTCGATTGTGGATGCTAAAGGGGTTGTCAGCGCGTTCCTTGGGCCCAAGGGCTTGTAGTGGTAAAGGGCGAGGGGGGAGATGTAAGCAGTTTTATCTCGATCCTGAGGGTCAATGGTGATCTGCCAGTAACCGGCCTGCAGGTCTATCGTTGTCATTATGGGGGCTCGTGCGGCGTAGAGAAGATCGTCAATCCTTCGAAAAGAGTACCTGTCGGCGGTCGTGATCGAGTTCCTGTTGACCCCGGCGACGATGGTAACGTTAACGAAAGGAAAATGTCCACTCTCGAAGCCCTCGAGTTATCACGACACACTGACTGCGGATCACGCCGGGCTTGCCGCACCCGAAGCACTCTAGGAGGCGGTGATGGTGCGCAAATTGCTGGGCGCGATAGTTAGTAGCTTTAGAGCTTCAGTTTCGTAAGCTTTCTTCCTATTCCGGTAATCCTCCTGCGAATGGCCTTGATTTCTGCAGTAAGTGCACCTGGGGTGGTGGATTCTGCAGTGTTTCGTCTTGCTCTGTAGCGAAGATTTCTCGAAGGAGCTAGTGTGGGGGCTTCGCTGGCCCAAAGGTTTTCCGTAGGAGGGTATTGGCGCTAGTCCATGTTTTTAACGTCCGTTTCTCCCCTTGCCACAATGTGTCAGCGTGCTTCCGGAGCAGCATTGCCATACATACATATTTAGGAACACCCTGTATCTTAGGTGGAACTGGTAGCTAGTTGGTTTTCCACCTCCCTCTATCCTGAGCCTCCTGATTCATTTGGTGATAACTTTTCCTCCCCATTCCATTTATTCATAGTCCAGTTATTGGTCTTCCTCTTCTCCTCCTTCCATGAATCTTTCCTTCGATCCTTCTTGTCAAACAGTCTCGCCTCAAAATATGGCCTTTTCCGTCTTCGCATTGGTCTTAAAAAAACTTCTTTCGTCACCGACTCTTTTCAAAACATCCTCATGCTTCACTCTTTCTGTCCACTTTACTTGTTCCATTTTCCGCCATAGTCACAAACTTTTTTAAGTACCTTTCTTCTTTGTTATTCATACTACACGTTTCTGATCCACATGTGACAACACTCCAAATGAAGGCTATCTTTTTTTACTACCAAAATATTTAAATGGTCGCACTTGCTCTATCTGCACTTCTTCTAATTGTGTCTTTACTTCTTCGTCTTCTTTGTCCATCAGAGTTATTTTTATCTTGCCGATGTTTACCTTCATTCCAAACTCTCTTCCAACCGATATTATTTTCTCCATCATTCGCTGTAGTCCTCTGTTTCTGCAAGTACTGTCGTATTTTATTGTGTATTTTATGTCTTTTTATTGTTACCAGCTACCCTTAATCCTTTAAATTTCATTACCGCCTTTTCTAATAATGTTTCTGCATAGATGTTGAAAGGCACCGGGAACATAGAACACCCCTGTCGTAATTCTCTTCCTACATTCACTTCTTCAGTTTCTTCCCTATTCACTCTGTCAACCACCTTCTGGTTTTTATACAGCTCTCTCAACAGTCTTCTATTTTTCCAGTCTATATCAATGTTCCTCAGTACCACCACCCCGGTTGACTCTGTGTCTTCCTGATCTTAAAATCTTCTCGCTAATGACGTTCCGTGGTCTTAGGTTCCCCCTGTAGCCAAGACGTCCTCTCTGGCAAACACTTTTCCTTTACAATTTTACTTAACCTTTTTTAACCGAACGAATTAAACTCTTATGTGGACATGATTGGTTAAGCGGGAGGGGGGGGGGGGGCAACGTAGCGAATCGTTATAATTGAGAGCATTGTCGTAAAGAGTCCTTATCACCATTAAGTCGGTTGAGATAAAGCGTTTTTAATGTACTTATTCCCATATATCAGGACACCTGCCTCTTTTTGTTAATGATATAATACATCAGCAACACCATCGGCATAAGGCAATATACAAAAATTTTCGATACAAACGATCTCATAACCTACACCTCCTACTAGGATGAGTCTCCTTGTGCTTTAATAATATAGTCATTTTTACCTACAAAAATTTGAAGGTAATAAAAAGTCTTCGTATAGATTAGGTAAT